GTGCACATGGAAGGTGGAGATAGGCAGAGGATATGTAGGGGGTGATTTTGACCATACAGGGGATCCAGGTGAGGGAGGGCTTCCTTCCGCTGGAGTTAGGGAGCACTAATATCATTCTGGGGATGAAATGACTGTAGACCTTGGGAGACACCAAGGCCAATTAGAGAGTACTGACGATTGAAATGGTGGTGGTGTGAAGGAGAGTGGTGATTAGGGTAGATGTAGTGTTATCCAAAGCCATTGTTTCTCTCAAAACCATGGTGAGGACCATAGGGGGGGGGGCGAGGATTTTTGATGGAGTTGCAGAACTTGGAGGTGATCAGGTTGGCGGGGGGGGGTCACCTTAAGGGATGGGTTGTCACTGATTAGTATCAGACCTTACTGATACTCTCAGATCCTGAAGGATAAGATTGTAAAGCTAAGCCAGGAGATGTTGAAGGTAGGGATCATTAGGCTGAGCGTGAGTGCTTTTTTTAGCCCAATCTTACCGGTCAAGAAGAAGGATGGGAGCTGAAGATTTCGTGTGGGTTACCGGGCCCTAAATAAGGAGTCTGTGCCAAACAAGCTTCCTATACTGGTGATTGATGAGCTTTGTGGAGCGGTGGTGTTCACGAAGATAGATATGAAGTTTGAGTACTATCAGATTAGGATGAGATATGAAGATATCTCGAAGATTGCATTAAGGACACATGAGTGATACTACGAGTTCTTGGTGATGCTGTTTGGTGGCCGTGGATAGATTGAACAAGTATGCTCATTTTATTCCCCTACAATATCTGTATACGACTGTGACAATTGCAGTGACATTCATCAGAGAGGTGATCAGATTGTATAGGATAGTGGAATCTATAGTGTTTGACTAAGATAAGGTGTTCCTCAATCATTTTTGGATGGAGCTATTCATGATGCATTTACAACAAATCTCAATAATAAGTTTTCACCTCAATTAAATTACTCGTTCTTCTTTTTCTTATCCCTACAACTCGAGTCGAACATGCTTGAAACTCTCATACTAAATTTTCTCTTTCTCTTTCCTTCATTTTCTCTGATTTCATCAGCTGCTTCTTCTTTCCCTTCTTTTAGCTCTACGTCTTAATTCTTTTTTTTTTCTTCACTGATTTAATAGCACTGCCTCTCAGCCTTCTAACTTTTCATTCATAGCAAAGAAAATTAATAATGGATGCATGATACCAGTCATATGGTTTATATAAATATATAATTTTTTTTTAACATTACCTAGCACGAACTTGCTTTCTCCTCACGTTTGGAAGGTCTCCAAATTAATTCAGCTGCTTGGGTAAACAGAATATTAAGTGCTTATGCATTATCATATAAGGCTTCGTTTGGGACGGCTTTTTTATTGCTTTCTAAAACGGAGTTTTAGTACAATTTTTTTTATTTTTGTATTAAAACTCCGTTTTAGAAAGCAATAAAAAAGCCATTCCAAACGAAGCCTAAGTCAAGCGCTTATAGTTCATCACAAGCCTTCCTTGCCACTACGATCTGAATCAACCATTGCATGTTAAGATGAGTGGGAACTTAATTTGCTGCCGTACATTAACATAACTACAGAAATTTTATTAAGTGAACAATAACATTTTATAAATATTTAATTAATTAACAAATTAGTGTATAAAAATATGCCTACTTTTCTCTCTCCCAAATTTTTTTTTATACTTATATATCTAACAAAATGATCTAAATAAAATGTAGAATTTTATAAAAATAGTTTTGATGCTTTTTGGCATGTACAAACAATGAGATATATATTTTTTCGGAGGATAATTAAGCTTACCTTAAAAAAAAGGGTATTATTTCTAGGGCCATTGTGTTGCCTTCTAGAGCTGCTTTCCTGATTTCAATAATTTTTGGTCAGCATCCCGCTTTTAGCATGACGCTCATTCACTTCCTTTGATTCTGAATGACTCTACGTCTATCATCTGGTTTCCACTTTGGATCCTTCTCTTTTTTGCTGTCGGTTTTTCAATGGATCTCACCTCCTGTTTCCCCCACATTAAAATTTTCTTGGGTTTTGATTGATCTTCCAATTTGGCCTCCCACTTCAATCTTGGTGGCTCCTTATTTCGTGGAGACTACTCCCTTTGCTTCCCCTATGGATCCTGTGCCTCTAGTTGCCCACGCTCATTCTTTTGCAGATATTATTGGTGGGATGAATGCCTGAAGAGTTCATTTCTCTACTTCAAATGGCCATTTCGCTGTTTTTTTAATCAATATGTAACTTCACTTATTCATAAACATCCATCCTCATATCTGGGCATGCCTGCTCTAGTCTTTTCTAAAGAGATCTCAGAGCATGCTACATCTTTTTTTTTAATTGTTGGTGAATTCTCGTTAGGCACCTTAACTTGGAGGTTATTCATAAATTTTAGTTTAATATATATTTGGTTGGTGACAATTCTGTTAGGCTTATTACTCTTGTGATGTTATTATTAGACTTTTTTCAGAAACATACTACACTAGGATTTTATCTCAAATGTGCTACTTTGTTAGTGGTTTTTCGATGCATATGCTAAAATAGTCGCTTCATTTTGACTCTTATGAGGGGAATAACATATCATTCTTTTTTGAATTGCATTCCCGCAACTTTGTTTACATTATTTCAACAAATCCAACCATATATTCTTTAGGTTAGACATTGAGCAAACCTTTGTAATTGTATAATGCTATTGCTATGGTTGGAGTCTTAGATGAACTATACATTACTTCTAAGTTTGTACAAGAGATATGAATTTGCTCATCGATTTTTGAATATTATAGTGGGTTTAATTTGAAGGAATCCTAACATATAGTTCATCCTACAAGATTTTTAGCATAATTTCAAGAGTGTTTTAAGACATCCAAAATATGAGAAAAATCTAATTATTAGACTCAAGATATAATCAAATAATTATATCTGACCCTCTACCATTTTAGAGGAAATTTTCATAGATTAGGTATGTAATCAACACTTCAAACATTTTTATTTTTATTTTTGTTGGGATTGGAGGTTTATGTTTATGTACAACTGCGCAAGCTAGCCCTATAATGGCAGTCACTTCAACAACTACAAGCATCATCATAAATATGGATATTCCTATTATTGTGTCACACCTCACATTGACTCCCTACCAAGCAACACAAGGTTTAATAGAGTAAAACATCCGATTCCTTAATCTTCATAACTCATAACCATTCCGAAAAACATTCATGTCACATTTAACCACATTCATCTATAAAGCATAAACATTCAAAATATTCCATTTATATCATATGTATATAATTATAGAGTAACTAACCACCCAAAGATATTATCATAACAAACAATCAACGCACCTCTGATTTAGACTCATCTTACTAGCTATACAAGAAAATATAAGTTTTAAATTAACCAGAGTCTACTCGGCTTCACCTTATCCCTTCCATTTCTTGCCACTCCTCCTAGGGTCTTCTAATTTAAAACCATGCTGGCCGGATCATACAATGGCCTGGGATCTTCAAATTTAAAACCATCCGACCTTAGGTCTGGGTGGGAAGAAATTACGACAAATTTCTCATGATAAAATCTTTTTAAGATATGATTGAATGACCTTTTTACGAGTTAATATTTGATTATTCCATTTTTGGGGTTTGTGGGAATATTTTAGAGATGTTGTATTTATGTAAAGATCTTGAAGTGATCATATATTTAAAAAATAATTTAATATCTTATGGGATCTCTAAATAAATTATCTCAAAACTCATTCCTTATTATCACTATAAATAGAGCCTTAGAAGAAAGTGTTTGACATCTTATATTCACTAGCAAATAGAAAGAAAAGGGAAAGAAATGGAAGAGAAAATGCCAATCGAGAATGAAGGGAATTGTTTTTATGGTTCTTTTAGAAGGGTCTTTTGCTTCTTCAAAAAAGTGTTGCTAATTTTGGTTCTTTCAAATGGAGGGGCTTTTAGCCTTAGTAGGGATAATCCTGCTAAGACTTGCCATAAAGAAAGTAAAATATTAATGCTAGCAACTTCTTCTTCATTAACTTTAACCTTCGTCATCAAGATCATAACATCATAGACAATGTGGTATTGTTGTGCTTATCTCAGTTTTGTATAAAGAGAGATCCTTAATGCATCTTTTTTAAAATTTAATAGGAATATTTAATCTGTGTTCAAATTTGGAAATGGGTGCATCTAACCGAGCCTCATAAACTTGCATGTATGTGACTTATGTTGTGTTTTTCTTTCATGCTTATTTTAAGTTTCGTTACTATCATAACATCATCACCATTAGCTTATAATTCTGATCTTGATGAATTGTCCTTGGTACTACTTTTCAGCTGTTTTTCTTAGATATGGATACCTAGTGTATCTTTTTTCTTTTGCGGTAAATATCCAATGAAAAGACTACTTCGCACGCACTTCCTCTAGGCTTCATAACCACAAAAAAGCAGTGACTTGTTTATCTCTTGTTGCATCACTTTGGTTAATAAAAACAGCACAGAACATTAATTTCAGCACATTACCCCACAAAAGGTTGGCTTGACATGTTAGATGCTCATTAGCCTATACTGAAGGTTATTAGCGTTACCAAACCATTCTAAAATCTTGAAAAGTTTATGCTTTTTGGTGCCCCAAAGATTGTTAGGCCTTTAAAGAAGAAAGAAGAACCGATGTTAATCTGTATACGTAATTATCGGTTCAGTACTGTCTTGTCTTATGATTCCTTTAATGCTAAAATTTGTTTCTTCTTGAAGTTAGTGCTAGTTTCTATGTTCTAGCCACTAGGCTTTTCTTTTCTTCAATTTTGGCTTCCAAAAATTTAATATCTATTTTGTTTCTTAGTCTTTATCCTCAGATATTTTGTTTCTAGTATTTCTTAACCGGGTTTGTTGCATTATACATTGAAGAACGTTGCGGTTTCTCTTTTCTCTACTGTCTTGAATGATATATATGTCAATAACAATTAGATGCTATTTTTATTTTTGAATTACTTAAAAGGTTGCTATTGATTTTAGGATGGTTCAAAATTTGAGATGCATTGTATTTGTTCAAAGAGTTGTTACCGCAATTGTTCTACAGTCTCTTTTAAGCCAATTAAAAGAACTTTCGGGATGGGGTATCCAGTACATGGCTGGAAACCGGTGTGGCTTGCAATCTCAAACGAGGAACCAACAAATGGGCATTGTAGATGCTTTTAGGGATGGAAAAGTGAGCTTTAACCATTCCTCTATGTTTTTTCAAAGTATATTAGTGATGGAAAACTGTTAATCTGGATTATTCTCGAGGAAGCGCAGGTAAATATTATTGTGGCTACTCAGATTCTGGAGGAAGGGCTTGATGTACAGAGTTGTAATTTGGTTGTGCGATTTGATCCGGCTGAAAATGTGTGCAGTTTCATACAATCCCGTGGTCGTGCTCGAATGCAGGGATCTGACTATCTAATTCTTGTTAAAAGGTAATGTTGATTTGCTATGCCATTTCTTCTTTTCTAACCTCTTTCTTTAGAATTTAAGTTCTCCTTTGAAATTATATTTAATGTACGAATCTGTCACAGTCCCCATTATTGAGAATTTTGATTTGCTAGTTAAAATTGAAAAACCAATCTGGTTTCTTGTTTTTCTCTTGTTGCTTTTCTTTGTTTTTTTCATTTAATGGAAGCACATTAGTGCTTTTTGACTGATGGAGAGCAAAAAATTCCAAACAATATGAAATTTCTTCTCAAAATGTAAGAATTTAGTAGTCACACCCCACAATGGCTTCTCTCTATTGAATTTAAGGCATGATAGAATATGTATGACTTAAATTTATTATATCGTTATCTCTTACTCAGAAAGCTAAATAGATTATTACAAATCAGTTTAACTGAAGCATTCTATAATATTCTATTCATTATACCATAGAGCTTCTAACAAACATCAATGTTTAATTACATAGTATCAAAATTTCATTATATACATATCTTAGCGGACTTTATATCTTGTACCACAGCTATATATCAAAAAATTTCAGTAGCTTCTTCAAAACTCGATCCACATTCAGGATCATTCTTATCTTTTGCTCTATCTCAAAATATACAGCTCAGAAGTAATATCAAGTGAGTTTTTAAAGCACATCGAGATAGATAATTTTAAAATAACCTTCAAATTTTAAAATAAGCAAGATGTCCTAATTATTAAATAGACCGGAAAGTTTAAAATAAAATATAGGCTGATCTACTGCAATACCTATAATCATCATAAAGTGGCATTTCCTGAATAATGATTTAATAATAATTGTTGAGGTAATCTATTGAAAAAAATTTAAAAAGATGTTCAGGCATAATGTGCATTATGAAAGTCAAACTTATTGGTATTAAGATTAGAGACAAATCATTTTATAATATTCATTTATTTCTCAATCTAAAATATTATCTTACTTTAGCTTAATATGCTGTACATGGTGTTATATTGATTGACCATCATAAGGTAGTGAATTGTATTAGATCCACATCACATATCATAGGGTTAAAAATCTAGCTCGAGTGCTACTTATTGTGGGGAACTTTTGACTCAATAAGTGTTCACATTTGTCGCCTTTATGTACAATTTATTTTAAATATATCAATTTGGGGAGCTTTTTCTTTTATAATGGCATCTTTGTTTGCCCTACCTTATATAGATTGTTATATGAAGTTTATTACTTGATAACCATTTGCCTTTATATGGGCTCAATTTTATTGTCATATATGTCCATTTTATCATAAATATATCAGATTAATGTCTTTCGCTATCTTCAATATGGGCTATCTTTTGTTGCCACTCAACCGAGGCCATCATGAACTTACAATTGGCAAAATATCTATATAACATGAACTTCTCTTAAGTCTAACATATACAATCATTTTGAAATAGGCTATTCAATATTTCATCAATTATGTTGCTCTTATGAAGTGCTCAGATTTGTCCTACTTAAGAAATAACAACAATATCAAATATTGATATAATCTCCTATCTGGTTTAAATGTTTTTTTTTCAATCATTTAAAATTTGTGCATTCCTATAATTATAAAGTGTAAGACATGTCATGGCATGTTTGATCATAAGACGCTCGCAACCACCCACTAACCCACATTTGTACCACGTAACGTCACCTCCACTGTTCGTTTCCCTTAAACGCATTGCATTAAGGAATTAGATAGGGTAGGCGCTCTTGTTTTCATTCAAACTGACTCACTGCAACTTGCCCTCTGCAACCATTTCGACTCTCCTCACACACAGAACCGGGTTGGCCTCCGCTCTCCTTCCTCTCTTCCTCCAGTCGAGCATTCATACAAGAGTCGAAGCCCAAGCAGTCACGTTCAATCTATCTAGATCCCATGCCACTGTCGACATCTAACCTTGCACGTGAACCAGGCAACGAATGACCTGCAGCCTGCCATGACATTCATGCCTGTCTGTATTCGCACTCCACCCTGCCATTTGACTTTTGTCAATTGGTATGCAGGACCCGTCGTCCCTAATCTGCCTACCCAATGACTGCGAAGGCTCTAGTCAGACCAACTTTTGGCCCTGACCTCGACTATCGTGTCATTGAGCTAGCCCCCCTCCCTTTATTCCCGTTGGCTGACTCTGACCGCAAACTCGTTCGGCCACACACAATCTGACCTACCTCTTACTTATTTATGATAGCACCGAAGGATCAGCACGGAATGAACATTGAAGCTATTGATTAACTAAAAATAGACAGAGAAATTTCAAAGATACTTCGAGTGGGTTCCCACCTCTACGTAGTTTGCTTCCAATGAAGCAAACCCTTCGTTCTAAATCGAAATTACTTTGCTTTCACCGTCATTTTTTAACACAAAAGCAGAGCAGTTGGGTAGAAGAATTCGAACTCCTCCCTTGCTGTCTCTCTCATATCGCATCGCAGACAAAGAGAAATGGATGTCCCCAACGCTCTCTTCACCGAGCTTTCTTCAAGCTCCCTTCGACTTCGACACTTGCTGTTCGGACTTTTATTGCTTCGTAGGAGGGCAGAGATCGATAGTCACTCTTTCGGTTCTTCTTGCTGTCTACGGTGCTTCCGGCAGGAGGGAGGGATAGTACAGTCGCTTCTTCGATCCTCCTTCCTTGTTGATCTGCCATTGCTTCGCAGAGAGCAGAGATTGGCAAGGCGTCGCTTCTCTGATTCCTTTGTGCGTTCCCTAGCCGACCCGATCAGACTCTCTCTTCGCTTCGCTTTTATGATATAAATATATATTTAATGGTAATTTCTATTATATATAATATCATATGATATTATATACATATATAATAAAAATGAAATAAATGAATAAAATAGAGGATAATGGGACTTTCAAGCAGGTGTTGAAGACCCGCGTCGTTGACTGTTTAAGTCTGGCCCGAGATGGTTTTAAAATTGTGAAATTACATTACCATCGATCTTAGATTGTGGGGCGTAGGTTTTTAAAATTTGAAGCACACCGAGCCATCGTATCTGTAAGATCTGGCCGGTAGAATTTGAATCGAAAGATCCTACTCAGTCGACCTTCAGATTTGTAGGAGAATTATGGCAAGAGTGCCATGTTGATTTCTCCAGACTGGCCAAAATTTTCTTGAAAATTTTGGATTTAATCAAGTATTTTGGGGAAAAATTGCATTCTTATAAGATTTTTTTTTTTTAAATTGGAGAGCATTTAATTTAACTGATTGAGTTAATTGATGACTGTATTATTGAGCAGTCATTAATTTATTTAATTTAAGTTTAAATTACGACATTTGAAAATTGGGTGGGCTCCGGAAAATCTTCGGTCCCGGCCTCCCAGGCTCTATGTCCTTCTTATTCGGCGATGGGAGTTTTAACCGAACTAAGTTTCGAGGTAAATTTTGGACAGGCAGATGGGTTTGTAGATAAATATGTGTTAGTAACACGTACCCCGAAGAGATTTCGCCCTCATATTTGTGAGAGACTTTATGATCTTGAGTTTCTGGTTTCTCTATAGGCGGCAAGCCAGCTATAGTTAATTAAGGTCACCCGCCTCGATTACTGACTTCCGAACGAAGAGAATTTCGATTAAGGCTAGTCGTACATCAGAACGTGAATCAAAAATTACGTGTTATCTGGCATATTAGTAGCGAGCAAGAAGTATTGATTTGGTGATAATCGGATTTGGGAAATTGGGGTTTCTGGAATTTGGAATTCGGAAAAGGATTGGAAAGTTTAATATTTAAAAATAAGAAAATTTCAACCCGCCTAGCACTAAAAGCGGATGGTTGGGGGAATGGATGAATGGGCCGATCAAGATCCCATGGTTCCGTCGTATCGCCGGACCCATCGTGGTCCTGGTCTAACTTAGTCAGAAGGACGTAGTCGACTCAACCTGACAGAAAGGATCCACATTGTCGGTCAGATTGCAAGTAGGGTTGCTTCGTCCAGGGAACTTGTAGACCGGCGGTTTGAATGTTTGTCTAAGGGGACAAATTTGAATCGCACCTTAGCTAACAGGGGCTTTGTGCCCTTCGTCATATCCTATTGATTCATATCTCAAAGATTTGATGCCATAAATAGGAAGTATTGGCGCTGCCATAACCAGGTATTGGCGCGTGTGCCATTTGGCCGGCAAAACCACTCGGTTCAGAGGGCCCTGGGTCATAACCGTTTTCTGGCGGTGCATTTGGCGGTCAACCGCGGTTAGGGACACGTACCACGTCTTTATTGGCAGGAGATTGTTTGAGAAATGGACCTAGTAAATTCGACTAGGGCATTTAGCTCTTTTTGTGGCTTGAGATAAATTTTGATTTGTTCCACACGGGCTGTGACACTACACCCGACAAA